CACACCCACACCCACACCCACACTCACACCCACACCCACACCCACACCCACACCCACTCACACCCACACCCACACCCCACCACACCCACCCACACCCACACCCACACCCACCCTTTTAGAGAAACAGAAGCAAAGTGATAGTTTTATTTAATGCTCGATTTACTAACCTATTTCACCCATGCACGATGACCTAATCTATCGAATTTTTCGTTGATTCGCGCATTTCGTCATTTTTTATTTCCTTCCATCGGTCAATTTTTTCCCATTTCAACGGTCTTTTTTCATTCCATTTCACCGGTTAATCTTTTCCCATTTGATCAGTCATGTTTATTGCATTTCATCGATGGAATACAATAAATTGACCGACGAAATGGAAAATAATTGGGTGATATCGGTGAATTTTTTTCCATTCCGTATAGTCATAACAGACTGACCGTTGTAATAGCATATATATATATCATTTTTTTTTGTGTTCATTTGTTTTCAAGATATGGCAATAGATATGGTATGTAAAAAATGAATTAATAATGAAATAGAGTCAAGTATTTTAGTTCTGCCGTTTATAAACGGCAGAGTGACAAAAAAACTATAAGTAGCGGAAGATACCTTCAGACTGTGCATGAATATGCATGTTTCCTTCTCTATCTCAATTTTTAACGAATTGTAAGATTAATTATTTTTTTTTTACTTCCATTAGATGGCAACCACTGCTGGTAATATACGTGATCTTGATGCTGAAATTAATGCAATTAATGAACGTATTAAACAAGGTATACCAATGACTGATGATGAACTTGACATTTACCAGCGAAAGGTTGTTCGTCGAGCAAAACTACACGATCAACTTACAGCCATGACAGCTGGTGATTAACTGCTAATCTATCCATAGTATATATACGTCGTTTCAACATTTAGAATGTAATCGACCTTAATAAAGACATACCATTTATTCATGTATTTCGTTGTTGTTCAGGTCATCGCTTTTCTTGTTTTTTTCTTACTTATGGTTCTTGATTTTTTTTCCTCATGATTCTTGTTTGTAACATGGACATTATGTTTTTTGTTTGTCTCATTTCTTTTCTAATTATCTTCTGTTGATAGTTTGTATTCTGCAATAAACAGAACAAACATTTAGAGAATGACATCAACAAAGAAAGTTAATCGTATTTTCTATTATCAATGACAACAACAGAAATATGTTTTATAGAAACAGTCGTTTAAATACTTAGGTATGACCAAAAGTTTTAAGCACATTAAATAGTAATATAAAGATAATGAGATATTTTTAATTTTATTTTATCAAATGTTGAGGATAATTGCCATGATTATTTATATCAAGTTCAATCCTTTCGACACAATTTATTAAAAGTTTTTTTGATCGCTTTTTCTAAAACAATTTTAGCTACGTTGGAAATTACATGAGCTAATCATGTTCCATTTATTTAATCACTTAAACTACATTCAATAGAATTAATTAGCCAAAAATTATATGGTATCAGACCTGGCGAATATATTGCGTATGACATTATATTGATGCCTTCTTCGGTCATAGAATTAATAACATTGGGTGAGTATGAAGTCAACGATGATCATCAAGCAATTTTGTACATTTTGAATCTAATGTCCATGTTTGTTTCCATATTTCATTAACAAAAGGCTTCGGGCAATTTTCAATATAATAATTGTGATCTACACTCTTGCCTTTATCTACACTCAGGACTATTTGATTTAAAGAATATACTAAACAAAGTTTTGGTTAAAATCTGTCTTAATGAACAACACTCTTTGACAGTTCATCTTCAATAAGTCAGTTAGCATTAGATGACTTATGACTAATCTATCTAAAATAAATCGATATCACATCACTAGTAATGCTAGAATGCAACTGACATGATCGAATAAAATTCCATTAAATTTTTAAAACAAATGCAATATAATTAGCTAATATGGTTTTGAAGGTAGCTAAAATTATTTTAGAAAAAGAGGTCAAAAAAAAACTTTTAACAAATTGTGTCGAAAGGATTGAACTTGATATAAATAATCATGGCAATTATCCTCAACATTTGATAAAATTAAATTAAAAATATCTCATTATCTTTATATTACTATTTAATGTGCTTAGAACTTTTGGTCAGACCTAAGTAAATACTCTTATATAAATAGTATCAATGAAAGAAGAAAATAATTTATCTATTCAATCAAATGGACGTTCATTAAAACTTGAATTAATTGATGGTTCAATTAAAGAAATTAAATATGAAACACCGAATTGAGGGTGT